CTTACCCTACGGCTTATATAAAAGCGAGAAAGCACACGGTAAGCCTGGTTATGTAGTGCAACCACCTCTACCAATTGTGGCTTGCGAGATTCTCATGTGGGAAACGCTAATTTGAACGACGTATTAGACGTTGTGGCCCATTCTAAAAATCTTAAATCGACCTTTGAGATAGCCATCGTTACCTGATGGTCAAACTAATAGGCCATATCTCACAACCATTCAAATCTCATGGATCCAAAGGATAAGTCTACATCCTCCTTAATTGATAGGTACAAAGCTTCCACCATAAGTGGACGAAGCCTAGCCTCTTCCTCTGGAACAGATGCATAGCGTGTAGGCATCGACAACGCCATTTGGGCTTTAATTAAATCCAGAAGGGACACTTAACACCGGAAAAAGCCCTCAACACGTGCGGTCAGCACCTCCGGGCCTTGCGATTCAAGAAATTTCATGTAATCTAGACCCAAAGATACGGTCAGCTTATCAAGCGCGATCTTTCGGGCCTCGGAGAGGGCAGTGGGGTTTTCCATCCTCACAGAGGATAAGTCTATAAAGACTCAGGCGTAGATTTACTACGAATGCTTGCAAGTGTAGCGGAGCTACACATCTCGTTAAGCCAGAGGAAGACTAATTGCTAATAGAGCAATGTTTTTAAAGAACTAGACTACATGAGTCAACATGCGTAAAGCTAAAGGTTCCTGTTCTAGGGTATCGAACGATTCAGTGAATCTACAGCACTTATTGCCTAAGCATAGCTACCTCAGGGAGGTTTTGCTAACTCTTGACGGTCCTCGCAAGGCATGTGTCTTAGACGAGACCAAAAGGGAGACTGAACTTTACTTACGTTTAACTCTACAGAAAATGTCAGTCTTGATTACCTGATTAAAACACTGATGTCCTAACTAAATGTCTTCATGATCTTTCCTATTTTGTGGCTGACACTCGTCGTCCACTATAAACCGATTAGATATTGTATAATCCTTTCAATGGGATACCGTCCTGTGTGTCTAAGACACAGGATACCGAGTACCCTACAACGTTTAACGCCTTTAAAGAGAAAGAACGTTTGGCCACTGCCTTTCGACACTCTGTCCAGATAGAGCTTAAAAATTACATTTATCAGGTACCAAAAATGACACATTTTTAAACTGATTCCATTGTTTTTTATGATACATTGGCGTCATAGATAAATGGTATGACCGGTTCTTACGCTCTCACGTACATTGTGTGGATGCATTGGTGTGTGTAAGCAGATACTTACTCAGCCGGACACCGTTGAAGGCGTCTTCTAGACTATAAACCAAGGTTTAAAATTTGACACCCACGCCTACCCACGTCCGTGGTTATTATGGTGATGGGACCAACCAAAATTGTTTTGTGGGTGTGCGTGGGCACGATTATGTTTCGATGATGTGTAAAGAACACGCAAATGTTCTTACTGTCAAATATTATTATTTTGTAATGATCCTTCAAGAGCTCAATACATAGAAGTTTTATATTAAAAAAATAACTCGTGTATTAATTCATTTACTAGCTATAAGTTGTCACGCTCAAGATGTAAGGGCAATAACACCTAATTTTCTAGAGATTTGAAGAAAGTGAAAAGTTGATGGAATCTTGTAAAAGAGTTTAAGGTGCACGTATAATTTAATATCACTTTATTTATAATAGAGTACGAGGCTTACAAGATTACGTTTTAAACATGGTGATAAATTGGGCAAAATATTTTGGGTGGGCTTTAATTTGCAACTCTGCTGTACACCTTGATGGAAGAGTTTAATGCATGGTAGGTACGTGTAGTCGACTTCACCAAAGTCTGCAGCAAGTACCACCCTGATGCATTATCGCCGCGCGTCGGTACAATAATAATAGATGGTCACAAGCATTTTTTGCCTGGTTAATGTCATGGCAGGCGTGTAATATGCACAAATCAGATTTTAAATAGGACTTGTTACGAAGATTGCAATATATCTGTTTTCCAATGAGCAGCACTTGGTAATAGTCTTGTACGGTAACTTAATTGCGATGTTCCCGAACACGTAATGTTTAAGATCTTGGCATGGCGGGGTGAATGCACGTACAACTGAGTCATTATAATGCGGGCTTACAATTTTTACTTTGAGTGCAAATGACAGACCGGTGTCAGCGGACTCGAACCTACCTTACATTTTGGCTCGGGATGTTTTTGAGTCAATGTTTACAAGGAATAACAAAATCAATGCCCTTTCTGGATAGATGGTAATGAGCAGGTGCTATCAGCAGTTGAACCCAACATTGACTCCCTGCCTTCACCTCCTATTCTGCACTCTTATGTCGTTACCACCAGTGACAAATTATGTGCTTGTTTCCAGCTGCTATAATGCCAGGATCCTTAAGCGACTGTGGCTTGATCCTAAGCGACAGTAGCAATATCCGTAGCCTTTAGATAATGCGTTATTTTACATTATACTTTGTGTTTGGACAGTTTGTGTTATCTATATCTTTGGCGAATACAGTTGTGATTGGCTTCATGCTACGTTGTCGATTAGGTCCATACTTTGCGGATCAAGACAAAGAATTTGTTCAATACCTAGATTTGTGTAAAAAAATTCCACCACAAAATTTTGTTGCGATGTTCATCGACTGATTGTCGCAAATGAAACGACTCGAACTTAGTTTGAGTAAACTAAAATATGGACGGATCGTACGTAGGTAGAAAATGCTCTTAGAGCTGGGAACTACCGCGTTAACCACCGACTTAGCATAACATCCTTATATTGGTGAAAAGGCGAGCAAGCTTCTGATGAGATATTCCAATCACATCATTCATGGATATGCCAGTTGTCATAGATAACTCGCACTCAGTACAACAGCGTTAATTGTTCTGTTGTGCGACTCACCATTTGTGAGACTCACATGCTGAAAGCAGCGACCACTCGCACAACATTAAACAAACAGCTAACGTCGAATATACTGCCCTCTCTCCCGCATTTACGCTGAAGTGGGGCTGCCAAGTATATGTGGTATCTAAGGTCTCTCTGCTGATCGCATAGAGTTTAAAAATCTGGAGGCATCGTGCTTTGTGACGCTGCGGTAAACACATTTTAGATTACCGGAAGCACGGGTTAAAGCACCTACTGTTAGAAAGGTCATCCAATATCCGCAGGCTTTGCTGACTTTTTCGTATTTATAGTATGCCCCCCTGAATGTAAAAAAACAAAACGAACCGGTGTTTTTAGTTATAAACGTACTTCATTGGGGTCATGACCTCGGCGTCTTGGGCACTGTTGTGGCTTGACTGAAACGGTAACGATGAGTACCACCACACTTCAACATCGAGACAATTTTAGAGCTATTCGGAGAGCAGAAACGGCTAAGCACATGATTGAGCTACGCTCTATTGCTTCGCTTTTACTATTTGTGTAAGCTTATGGATATATTGAATTGCGGTACCTTAGTCTCTTTTTTGTGTAGTATCAGGCGTTTCGATGTACAATGCTCTTGCAATCGTCAAAGTGACCGTTCGAAGTTTTTTTTTTGCAAATGACACCTCTCAGTAAGCTACATCGGCCACAGCACTGTATTTTTAAGATGTCTGCACCTCAATATCTTTTCATACATGGCTTTGACGATGCAAAAAGCCGCTAGATAGTAACGGCAGCCAAGATTTCACAAGCCGATCTTTGATCTTTCTTTACGTAGTACCATCAATGTGTCAAAGTTTTACCACGCTTTGTTGATGTTGCTGCCTCATCAGTTAGCAAAATGTCTATCATCGTCTAAACTTGTGTATTGCAACCGATGAAACTTATATCAGTAACGGATAGATGTATAACAGTATTGTTTAGTGGCAAATTATGATCTAATCAACGATGATTATACCTCGTTCATGCTCGTGAAAGTGTCGATATAGCTGGTCTGCTGTGCATTTATGATTCGACATTGTCCTCCTGTTCAGATATACTGTACTAAAAGACCGATCCTGAAGGCTTAGATTCTCGTTTCAAGTTACAATTTGTACGATTTTTCATCAGCATGGTAGTGCTTCGCTCCATACACTCGTATTCTGGCTCGATGCTACATTTTTAACACAATCTGTCAACGAAGAGAGCTCAAATTGCTTTCATTCATGACTAAAATAGCTAGCAATTTATTTCCTGGCTCTATGATCGATTGGCCTTTTCCTTGGTTTACCAGGTATACAGCCCATGAAAATGATGTGCTTCTCCTCCTCTTACCATTCGTCTGCTCAGATTGTCAGGGTAATGATTATTTTGCTTTCGTAATCTTGATTTTACCCTTACAACAGTCGTTACTAGCGCGATTTCAGTTCCGAGCAGCTTTTGTAAGTGACGTATCGCATCATCATTGACCACACTATGATCGGGCGGCTTCGCGCATGCTACTGAATTCCTTGTAATTGAGTTACATCATGCACATTTTGTTCTGAATCGGCCTCATTCTACAGTAGAAACTGATCGTGATTTTCTTCGACCACGGAGTTGAACGAACAAAGTTAACACCGTTTTACTTGAATATGACGCACTGTTGCTTGGTTCAACTACAGCATACGTTCTGTCAGAGCTCAGAGGTCATCTCAGAATTGGCGCAATAAACTTTGCCCAATATCACGCGAGTAGATACATGACAGCAAACAAGCAGTCGACATAAGTACAAGCAACAACAAAATTCATCGAGTCGGCAACAAATTAAAAGGCAGTGCTGCCTTTTAGTAGCTACATAACACTACTCTATATCTGTTGCTACTACAACACATCTATAATTTCCATACTGCAGTCCATCTTCGTTTTCATCTCCACGCCCACTATCAATCAAGTGCACGCACTCAAGCACGCGCAGTTCTGGGCAGTCTGAAAATCTCACATCATAACAGACAAAGCTAGATTTACTGCCTTCTGTGCTCTTTGTAACGCCCAATTGACATTTATTGCTCAATGGCGAAATGTACAAGTTCGCCGTGAAATTACGACTGGAGACAATCTGTGTAAACGGGTACGAATTCACTCATTCCAACCCTCCGGCGCTTCATCAATATCGCGTTGGTATCTTTCGGTGTCATCCAACGCATCATTTACTTCTATATCATCCGCAAACACACCCGCGTATTTGCATCCTATCGTGTCGTCATACTGAAGCAGTTGGTCGAGTTCATCCGACGACTGCTGCTGCATGCTCGAACCGGCAAAATCGTGTTCACTCGGCAACCAGAGCATCTGATAGGTGTCGCCGTCATTCGCTTTAGCAACTTTCGCTGCGCTGCACGAAAACCACTGCTGAAAATCTGTATCCTTGTGGCCACCCAATTTGCGATAGCTGGTCAATTGGCCAGAAGATCTGGCAGATGCTAAATCCAGCGGCATCGACAAAACATGGTGCAACTGGGGATAGACAGAAGCTGCAGCGAGAACAGGGTCTGATGCGGAGCGTACCCTTTCTTTGATCCCTCCACTTAACACTTCGTTACCGAACATCGGTGCTGTGCTTGGGGGTGGGGAGTCTCCCGGCGCCATCGACATTTTCTCCAAATGATTAGACAATAGCACCGTATTGGACCAGTCGTTGCCCAGGACAGACAAAGCATCGATGCCAAGATCGACCTCGGCTTCGTTCGTGATCAGCTGTTGAGACAATTGAGTCGGTAACGCTGCATCCTCGGCAATCTGGAAGCACTCTGATCCAACTGAAAGCATCTCAGTGTTCTCGAGCTCGCCAAATTCTAAACTGGGTAGAAACGGACTGGTCGGAGGGGGAACTCCCCCCAATTGGGACACAGATGGATCTCCAGTGTCACAGGTTGCCAGCACGGATAAAATGTCGCTGTCAATTGCCTGCTCATCACTTGATGGCACTGTCATGTAACTTTCGGCATCCGAAATCGTAGTCCCCGGCCACTCGAAAGGTCCGTTTTCAGCAGACGGAATAACGCTGCTGAGGAGCAAGTCTGGTTCGGGATCATTTGACATGTCATCGCTTCGATCAAACATTGAAAGTCTGATCTCGTCGAGTTGATACATCGGGTTCATCTCAGTCAAAGACTCCGACTTCGACCGAAGCTTCGTACTTCTAGCAGTACCTTTTGTCTTGAAAGCTTGTGAAGTAGTACAGCCTCGACGTGGCTTGCGCGAGAATTTAGGGCACGCTTTGTCCATCAGCTTCGTCCTTGTCAACGAGACTCTCGCATTGCTCTTATCATTGAAAAATGCGGCAGGCTCTGAGTTTGACCGTGAGCGCACACTGCGTCGTGACGCTTTCGCAGCTGAAGGCGCATCACTTGACGGAGCTATGGGCATATGTATGCCTGCGTTCGTGCTTTGCTTACCTGGCAAAAGTCTCGAGTGATTAGCAATTGCCATGAGTGGTGTCGCAGGTCGAATCATCACATTTCGATGTAAAGGCAGAAGAAGCGTTCCAACCTGTCGAAGCACATGTCACATTAGTCTTCATCTGACTAAAACATACATTTCTCATAAATCGATAAAAAAACAAGCAATTATGAGAGAAATGAACTGACTTGGCTTTCTTTCTCTCGTCGATCCACCTGCTCTGGGTGTTTAAGTTTCTGGTGATGGATCAGTGAACCTTCCGAACCATATGCCTAGCCACAAAAAGTCAAAAAGTCAAAAAGTCGAGTACAAATTAGAACCTCACACTAAGGACAAACCATTCTCGGTTCCGTCCTATACCGAGATACAGAAATCTCATTTCAACCTAGATTTCAACCTTCTGACACGCTGCAAAGCAACATTTGTATTTGCGGTCAATTTCCGCTGCCAATCGTCGACGTCTCTTTTTACTAGCACTCGACCCTTTCTCTGCACCCGGCGCTACTTCACTGTGTCCGAGATCCCGTGTCTCAATCTTCAGCTTTTATATTTAATATCAAGGCAAACACATCACACGGTTTTTTAGCCCCCTACTCCGTTAAGTAGCCCCCACTTGAACCGACCATCGACTACAGTTACAGTCTGCCACTTCCCCGCCTACTCACGTGTTTTTCTTCCTTAAATCTCGCGACTTTGCCCGTACTAGTTGCATGCAGCTTCGGAGCACTCGACGAGGTTTTCTTGGCGCATTTTGGTCTTGACTTGACCCGACTTTCCTGCATGGCCGCGCGTCCGGCACGTCAAGACCAAGTGATGCCGTTTCCGAGCGACAAGTCGTCGTCTCAAGACCAAACCGAGTCTCCAAGTGAGCAAGGGAGATTAGCGGAGCTGAGTGCGAAGCGGATCTGCACGCTGCTTCTCGGTGGGCAATACAAAGCGCAAGTTCTTTACAACGCCGTTTCATGTGTCGATTGTCAATATGGTCTCGTGTAAGTTGACGAGCATACAAACAGCCCTACAAATGACATAGGGTGGTACAGTCTCGTAAGTTGACATGCAGCTTCAACGTGATCGGTTTTGTGGATCTGTGCCGACAGGGAGTGATTGAAGTGCGACATGTCGGACAAGACGCTGACCGCTTCAGAACGGAATGGACTATTATATCCTGCGAGTAAAGGGGGGGGAGTGCATGAAGGCGGGCTTGAATGTCGCACCTTCTGCGATATGATCAGTAAGAAGATCAAAATAGCTGAGGAGTTAATGGCTATTTTGATCTTCTTCCTGATCATAGTTAATGGCTGATGACTGCAGTTTTTGGATCGTTGTATGTGAGTTTTAGATCGACAAATGATCACGATCTCGACGACAACAGCCACTGTTGAATCCATTGTTCCTGGTGCTTTGTAGGATACCACTTGGATTCGGTATCTTACATCGCACGGCTTGAGCATAGGACACTGAGATATATCTTTTACGAACCCTTTCGTGCATTGTGGAATGTATCTGATTGTACAAAAGGACTGATAAGTCAGGAGATCAAACACTGGCTCAAGGCAGCTATGATTTTAACGGATCAACTGTGATCTTAGTACGTGTTACTTGCTGAAATCTACCGTCATCGTGATAGTGGGTGGCGATTGATTTCACTCGAGAGCAGACCCGACGCCAAATCGAAATGATGCTGCACTGCATTGATTACACTGTCATTCTCGCCAGCTTCACACGTACAGAACGCGACAATCTGTAGTGATTAGATCGCATGCGATTTTCGGCTGACAAGCAATGACTGGATAAGGCGAATGGGATCAAATTGATTTCTGATCTGGTCGTATCAAAGACGGTGTAAATGGGATGTTTTGACCTCCTGTACAGAATGGCGGCCTTGCGCAAGTAACACGAGTGCTGAATAATTTAACCACTGTACTATCTGACACAAACATTGCTGGCAATGACCATCACTACCTTCTGGAACTTCCAGGTGGCATAGCGAACTTGCCTGGATGAGCAACCAGCTATTCAGACACCATGTCTGATCCGTGGCTACAAAATGAGCCCACGATTGGGCTTAAGCGGTACTGCGCGAGTATAAAAAGCGCAGGAGAACAATACGAAGTCAATTGACAAACAGCATCGTGTATAAACGCGGTCGACGATCACGTGTGTTTTGTGAGACATGAACATCTTAACTATTGCAGACGAGCAAGTATAGTGCATTAGTGCTGTGCAGGCTCCCACTTTAGACCAAAATCTTTTTTTGTCCATGCACTGATCAAGCTCCCCCTACTCTATTTATATGCGTGTTTAACAAGTTTTAGAGTTATCTTCTCGTTCACTGCAAGAGATCAAATAGCAGATTCCCGATTGGCACGCGCACTACCCCTGGCTGCGGGCTCCAAGCTTCATCATCTTCAGTCTGAGGACGAATAGCTACGACATCCTCTGTATTTCCCAAAAGCAAGTAGAACCATACCTGGTATGCTTAAAGATCCGTAATACAAAATTTAAACCAACACGCAAGCTTAGCTGACAAAACATAAAAAAACATTCCCGTTCCTTAAATTTTGCCACATACCAGCTAATTGTGCGGACTGTGTAAATGACCCCTCGGCTCGCCTGCGCATCATTGTGTGGCAATCTCGAATACATCTGCTTGAAATCAAACCTATGACTTCGTCTTGGAATCTCACCCCGGTGTCGTGCTCACGAAACAGAGGAAGAAACTTGCTCCAAAATGTAGGACATTGTCAAAAGTAATCGTAACAGTCGACATCGTAATGCCAATGATGGACCGGTCATCATGAAAGCCGACCACGTGGCACCGTTGCAGCAGTGAGGTTGACGTCGCAACTAGGGTGCGACGACTTCCGTGTCCTGGCATATAAAAAGCGCACACAAGCGTCGCATAGTGAAACAGACAACGTAGCCTTTGCAAATGGTTCAGTTCACGCCGACATGTCCAGGAGCTTCATCATATAGCGCAAGCATCTTTAAAAAAGACCTTCGCCTCGATGCGCTCGTTCTGTCAGCTGATACGGAAAGCGATTAGTCCACCAATGTCTCAAACTGTCGATTGTTGCGTGGTGATCACGAGCGCATGGCTAGCCTGACCACTGTCAAATGCATGCTCACTTCCAGCACGACTTGCTTTGACCGGCGTGTAACCTTCGCTGCAAAAAACGTATTCCTTGTAGTGTCATCTTGCTCACATTCTTAGCAAAACTTCTACTTGCTCCGTCTCATATCCCATATGCGCAAGGAGGTATCATGCTTTGTCAGGCATAAGGCTCCCATCGCTTCCTGGTTTGATATAAATGCTTTCAGGCCTTTCAAGTACCTCACAGTGTCATTGCCAAGCTTTAGAATGAAGCTTGAAAGCGGAATTCTTTTGATTCTGCGAAGAGTCCGAACCTGAATGGCATTCAAGCAACTACCTCTGTCGCAAAGACATTATCATCAATAAAACGAAAGGTCAGTGCTTTAAGCGGAGGAGACAGCTACAAGTGAAAAACACAAAGTTTTGCAAAATATATTATAATAATTAGTTGATGACAATATCGGATTTTATTTTGTCGGACAATTTTATAAACCACTGCTCACAGGCTGATACAGACTATCATACCAGCCTACACAGAGGTCCGATCGGTGATTGTAACGGGGCACCCTGAAGCTTGTACTGGTGACAGTACAAGCTACTTATTCTGATGACAGAATAAGGCGGTGCCTCGTAACTTCACATACACTCGTACGTGCAGAGGAAGACGGTAAGAAGAAGCGAGTACTTGGTTAAAGTAAAAAGTAGAACTGTATTCAGTATAGTTAATGTCTGCAATAAATCACTATTTATCTTCATCTAACTATGTCTAAATACAAATGTGTAAATCAACCATCTGCTCACCACTCATTGCGTGCGTCTGTCGTGGCGCGTCTTCGTTGGTTGATATAATGGCCTATATCAACCAATTAGGAACTACTCGTAAGTGCTACAGAATATTTGTCCTTATGACAATATTCTGAGAATGGAACTCTTATAGTTATATTCTATTAACAATTTCTTATAAATTGTTATGTAATGATTCACTCCGTTACATCACCCCCCCCTTAACCATCAGTCACTTTAGTGACTGATTGACTAAATGGATACTCGTCTCAAATCATTTGGGACAGGGTTGCACTTGTTGGTCCGAGTCCACAGTCCAACAGTTCATCGCATGGTTTACAAGCCCATGCGGTGCGCGAGCAAGGCCGCCGAGAGCGCGTCCGCACGTCTCTGTGCGGACGCCGAAGCAGAAACCGCAAAAACTGATGTCTCATCGATTGCTGAAGCGACTCAGCCTGTGTCACCTGGTGATGCAGGCGCTCGTCATGAAGACACTCATGTCTTCACAGAGTATGAGATCGGTGTCTCATGCTCTCCCGATACGGAAGACGGATCCGTATCGACGGCGATCGAATCCAAGCCGCCTGCCAAGCGTGGCATGGATGATGCTATGCGTCGCAGCATCTTTGGTTCATCTGATTCATCAGATGAACCATCGCCGAAGCGAAGGCGCTCGAGGTCGCGAGACTCGGGCGCTCACAGTGGTGTCGGTTCTCCTATGGACACCACTTCACAGCGAGGTGCCAGTACTTCTGTCGGCACGTCGCAGGAAGAGCGGGACCGCAATGTCTTGCGTCTCGCTACTGAGAAGAAGGCATGGATGCCTCCAAAATCCGTCATGGATCACTTGTCGGCGACGACGAATGATCGTTATCTAACACGATTGTTCGACTCGTCAAGGATCCATCACCTTGACCCCAGCGCGAAAAACTATCGCGCTGAACATGAATTCTTCATCGATGCTTTCTTTAGACATCGATGGCACAGTGGGAATCACAAACGTGATGATCCCTCACTGCTTCAAGCGTGGAACGCTTACATCCACAATTTGAGGATGTAGGTCGTGACGTTTGGAACGACAAACTTATCAAAGCTCGTGATAAGTTTGAAAAGCGAACCCCGACAGGTGCACGCTACAAGCTGCATCGTCTGTCAAGGGAGAAAGGATTACCCTGTCTCTCCTGAAAATACTCGTGCCCATGTTGTGTGAACAACTCGGCGCGCGCACCTAAGGAGGCTTACCTCCTTACTAGCCCGTGGTGGCGCGTACGTATCTCTACTGAGATGTACGAAGAGATTGACAACCTGAAATCCCTTTACGACCGTGCCGGGAAGACTTTTTCCGGCGGTCCTTCTGCGGTACAGGATGTGCCGCGTCGTACTGCTCAACCAAACCCAGTACGTCAACTATCAGTTGGGAGCGGGGCTCCCAAGAATCCCAGGACTGGGGATAGCCGCGCCACCGGACGAGGTAACTCGTCCGACGTCCGTTCACGTCGCGGTGGTTCAACAGCTGCTCTACTAGATAGCGCTGGCCACCGCGAGAGTCCTCTAATGGAGGTGGAGGAGGAGGAAAGACGCTCTCCACACGATCATGTGGATCGGTGTGTTCCCGAGAGCTTCTTTGATCGCGTAACGCAAGGGTTACGCGACGATCTCGAAGCATGAGCGGAATAGGCGTCTCCAAATGGTGGACACTGCCTCGAAGCATCGAGCTGAGTTTGCCTTTGCTCAGCTTGAGAACGAGAGATCTCTGACATCTCTTCGTGACGAGCTAAGGGTAGCTCGTGGGATTGTTGATCGGTCTCGGGCTGAGATAACTGCTCTTCAGACCCTTGTTGATGCCCACCATCGGGAGCACAAGGCTCTCTGCGAGATGCTTGAGCGCAAGGGCGTTCTTCATCG